GTGGGAGAAGGCAAGGGTGGGATGATTTGAGAAAATAGCACTGAGACATGGGCATCACCATAGGCAAAACGGATAATCAGTGCAAGTTCCATGCATGAAGCAGGGCAACAAAAGCAGGTGCTCTGGGACAACTCGGAGGGATAGAGAGAGGGAGGTGAGAGGGGTGTTCAGGACGGGAGGACACACATATTCCTGTGGCCGATTCATGTAGATGTATGACAAAAAACAGCATGATACTGTAAGGTAATTTTCCTCCAATTAAAATACAGTAATTAATTTTTTAAAAAGTGCGTCTTTCTTTAGTGCTTCTAGAATTTGGATCTAGCTGGATATTAACAACATTACAGAGAAAGGAATCACAGTTGGAAACACTTAGTAGTATAACTTTTAGGACAAAATGTGTGCTCATGGGCTAAGTTGCTTCAGTTGTGTCCGACTGGTTGTGACCCTACAGACTGTAGCCTGCCAGGCTCCTCTGTACCTTTGTTACACAGTAGGCCAAGAGTTCTCAAATGTATTTAAATAAGTAATGATTATTCCTAAAACCTCACTGTAATTTTTCCTGTTTATTATCTCTAACAACAAAGTTCCAGATAAATCTGTATTTTTCCATTATTCTCAGCAGCATATAGACACTGTTCTAATAGTGCCCGTATCAGACTCCACAAAACAAACGGAGCAAAAAGGGCCTAATTAATGATGAGCAACTGGGGCCTCCTTTGCACTGTGGCAGGCAGGAAAAGTTAAGGCATCATAATAAGAGCATAAGTGCTTTGAGTGAGGAAATAAAAGGAAGGGGGAGAGGGGAGGGAGGAAGTGAGGGGGAGAAAACACATAAAGACCAGATTGAGAATTATCAAGGCTTTAGTTATAAATCTAGTATTATTTATGAGTCACCCCAGGGAATAAAATTCTGTTCTCTACACCTTAGAATCATGATTCATAAAATGAGGGATAACCATATTTTCAATGGCTTTCCATATCTGAAATATCACAGCCCTTCCTGAAGAAAAGTTCCTGTCTCACAGAAATAAGAAGAAATAGCATGTTGTCGGTATACCAACGACTTCTACCTTTAACTGTTGAGTACAACCTGGTTCTACTAATCATTGACATCAACAAAATTCTTACTCTTTATTAAAGAATGATTTTAAATATATCTCTTTTATCTGACAGGCCTGGTAAAATAGGCACATAATTAGTACAAATTATAGCACAGATGACAAAGACATTAACTTTGTGAAGATCCAAATATATGATATCTGTGTTAGACCTTGAAGGATGAATAAAAATCCACCACAGAAAAGGAAGAAGAAAGGGATACAAGCAGTTAGATAAAATATGAAAAAAAGCGAGAGACAGGAAAAATACATAGATTATTCAAAAGTAACAAAAACAGAACAGGAGACAGAACTTGCCAAAGTCAGAAAATAACGGGATATGACCAAACTGTGAAGCCCCTTGAAAGGCAATGATGACCAACTACTTTCAATGAAAGAGAAAGAAAAAACACAGAATATTTTCCTAAAATGAAATACATTAAAAGTGCTATCAGGATTTACACAATAAGTGACTTTACAGCATCCTAGATGAAGCATCAGACACGTGAATGAAGCCATTTTAAAGGTGTGGCCTTCTTAAATCACAATGAACCAGTGACTGCTACATCCCCTGCTTTTAGGGACATGAGAATCTTTTACAGTTATTCTATTCCTGCCCATGTGTGTCGTACACATGAGGAACAATGGCGTCTTGTATAATTTTTAGTTCTCCAGATCAAGGACAGCTTTAGCTGGGAAGCTTCATTCACATCCATAAGTGATTCCAATGAAGCTCTTCTGGACTTCAACACAATGTCATAATAGAATAGATCTTTGGGAGGATGTGAGCCTTTGAGCATGAAAGAGGGGCATTAGTCATGAGAATTAAGAGAGAAGACTGCAGTATACTTAGACTTGCAGCTTCCTATAAACATACTTCCAGTTATTCAGCCCTTTTGTGGGCCCCTTGTAAACTCACTTTATACCTAGTCATGTGAAAAACTCCCTTGTCAGTCAACCACTATACTCTAAAAATTTTTGAGTCAAACTCTTTAATGAATGATGACATATAAAGAGAGGTCCGAGAATATCAGGGATCATCTTAGACATTCCAATCCCTGTCACACTCCCAGCTGAATTCAGTTACATGAGTGACCTCTGTTTATAATAAGCAAAAGAATTACCCACATATGAGACTTGAGAGGTCATAAATCACTGTGGCTTTAAGTTATTAAGTTTGGGGTTATTTTACCTCAATAGCAATAGATCATTGAAACATACAACTCTATATTTATCTCTATTACAAATCAAAATTATTAACAGATCATCAGATATTCAAAATGTTAATAGCTAAGATAATGTTCTAACAGAATAAGCCAGAACAAAAGAAAATGACATAGAAATACTGTTCTTTCTTTTCCCATTATATACATATATAAGCATATAGTCACATTATTATCTGAGCTATATTTTATTCATGTATATTCCAATTAATATGCCATTTAGGTTATACATAATTATGAGATTTGGTTGAGATAAGTTGTTTGTAGAGAGCAATGGAATCAATAAAAATTTATTATCAGAGGATAGAAAGGGTCAACATGAAGCATCAAGAACAAAAATAAATACTCTAAAATGGAAACTGTTGGTAGTATAATATACTATCTCTAAAAATGAAGTCCCGACATCAACTTTGTATTTATAAATAGCAATGCATTGTATTCAACTGAAACCAGGCAAATGTGTTTTCTTGTAATAGTTTTTCATATACTTTATCACTGATTATAACCACTAATTTATTTATGGACAAGGAAGTTAGTAAGCAACAGATTTAGAATCCAAGCATAATATTCCAATTTCTCCCATTGTTACAAGAAGATGATGAGCATTTGTACTGTACCCACTCATTTCTGCAATCAAATAAATTACAATAAAGATTATAAGCCATAAAAATGAATGAGTCAAGCAGTAGCGCTAGATAAGCCGATAATTACCACTTGTCCAAAATCATCTTTGCTCAAAAGTGAAGGAATTTTATTTTTATTTATTTTTTTAGCCAAAAACAATTTGTTTTAATGAATATTCACCCAAAACCTGGCTCAGCCATATGAATATTAGCAAAGCTGTGTGGCCCCTCAGCCTGCAAGCCATTTGACTTCCTGATGAACCCACCTCAGTATTTGTGTTACGAATAAGCAGAGTCTGCTTATTAGTTTGTTAGTTTCAAACAAATGGTATACTGGAGAAGGTTAACCAGAAATGATAGCCTGAGTTTCACCTTTAGTTGGTCCTAAGCCATTGCTTCTTTCCATTCCCATTTTTTGGTGATTATCAAAGCTGTATATATTCATTGTACTAAATTTATGCAGTACCAGAAAGGGAAAAAGAACTCACAAAGGAATCACAATCTAGCCACCCAGCTCAAAAGTGAAGGAATTTTAAAGCATGCAAGCAAGATGGAAATTTCACAGAGCAAACATATTAAAGAAAAAACATCTAGTCATCAATAACTGTCACTACTTTTAATTCTGTGATCAACACCATAAAGTATACTTAATAATAATAATTTCAATCCATAGATAGCTATTCTTTAAATAATTTAAAACTTTATTATTTTTACCAATACTCAGCTTCTACCTAAGACAAAGTATGATAACCTTACATTGTTATTATATGCAATATGTTTTATCCTTGGCTATTATTGCCTTCTTAATCTCATTAAAAATTGATCCATATATATGAATTTTTCTTTAGTGCTATTTTCCAATGTATAATTTTTTTTACAGTGCCTCTTAAAAGATTCATTTCCAACAAATTTTTGTTTCATTCTAAATCCTTGCTATATAAGAAAAAATTGAATTAATTATATATAAAGCTTCAATGAAATATATTTTAATGTCTAGATAGTGAAGAAAAGTTGGCTCATACTTTATAAAAATACACTACATGCAAACAGTATTTTCAAATGACCTAACATAGTTATCATTGATGGATTTAGTGAACTTTTTCAGCATTCTAGAACTCGTGTTTTATAAATAGATAAAACATTAAAAAATTCACATATGGCCCTATATAGAAATGAATGTTTTCTTTATTTATTTTCATCCTTTTTAATGGATAGGAACATAACATCACCAAAAAGTCAGAAAATTCAATATGATTGATGCTACAGAAAAAAAAAAACCTTAAATAATTTATCATTGAGAGGAAAAATATCTTCTATGCTATTATTTACCAAACATTACTTTCATTTCTTTATTTATGTTTTGATTATGAGTCCTATATCCAAGTGTAATGGATATGATTCATCTTTACCAGGCATCATGCACAAAATTTTAAGCATATATATATATTTATTAGATTAATAAGCCTTCATAAAATGATTCACACAAAAACTTTTCATGTTTAAAATTACAGATATGTCATTATCATAAAACATAAAAGGTATGGTTTCAAACTTAATCAGCATTTCATTGTGTTAAAACTTCCTAACAATTAGATTTTGCACAAATACTGCCATCTAAACCCACAAACAAAAAATAATGTGTTATATGGTAGGAAGTTACATTTAATAGTAGCAAACGATAAATTAAGCTCTGATATACTCAGTACTCAATCTCAAAACATATAACATTCCTATAAACTATCTTGTATGTTGAAAAATGTATATATTATTCATATGCATACATATGAATTCCTCACTTATTTAAATAGAATTTCAGCTTATCTTGGTACTACTCAACTATTACAACTCAACATGAAAGAATTCTTTTCAAACTGTCATATTCTCTACAAACCACCAAAACATTAAAGTTAAGCAAATGCCTGCTTTGAATCCCTTCTGCTTTTTGTTGCTGCTATTGATGATGTTTCCTTTATAAAAATTAAGTGAACACACAATTCCTACAGCAACTACGCTACGGAAGGCAGAATGGAAGAACATTTGTCATTGTATATAACTTATTCAACATTTTCATACACTATTCCTAGGTGGGAAAAAAATCATAAATTATCTTACAGTTAATATGAGTTCATTTCTTGCACAATTAATTCTTCCAGGAATAATAATCAAAAATGTATTAACTGAAAGTAAACATATGTATGTTGAAAAAAGCCATCATTTGAGTGCAGGAATAATTATTTAAATGTGGTTTTCTTACCGTGGCAAGAACCTTCGATTTCTTCATACCCTGTACTGCAGATACATCTTCCAAGAGGAACCAGCCAATCTCCATCAGCTCCACAATAGAGCTTAGGAGTGTCACGCTCTTCTGCACTCTTCACACAGGAGCCCCTTACTTCAACCAGGGAGGAAGAATCAACCCTTGGGATAGTGTCTGGAAACACGGCCAGGTTACGAACGGTAAAGGGGCATTTTTTGTAGAAAACACGGACGGAAACTAGGGCAATGCATGCCCCGATGTCTTGAAAAGCCAGATAAAATCCTTTCCTTTCTATAGGCCCCAGCTCACGAATCTCAGTGTTGAGTTTGAGGATGCGATCACCCAAATCCATCTGGGTAAAACTTTCATCAGCAGCAATTGTATCAATCTTTGTATACTGGCTTGGCTTGAATTTAATTCCATGGGACTCATCTGATTCCACATAATATAGATTAAACGTTTCTTTGCAAGTCCCCAAGACCCACGGGATGCTGTTACAATCCCTCAGTGTGAACTTCATTTCCACATAAATTTTCTGAGCTGCATCACGAGAGATCCAGTTTGTACGAAGCCAGTTGTTTTGGTTTGGCTCCATCACATTGCATACCTGGTATGTGTGAATGGGCCTGTTGTGTTCATCCATTTCAGTAATGGCATCCCACTGCAAAAAAGAAAAAAAAATAAATGATTATAAAACCACAGTGGTTAAACATCTATGATTACCTTCAACATTTTCTGTTTTACTGAAAGAAAAAAGAATAAAAAGGACGCAAGTGAAGCAAAGCAACAGTGTGCAGGATTTCAACAAGGAGACTTTCATCTCAGAATGGGTTCTGAACATACCAGCTGTCCTAGTATGAATCTTACCTTCTTACATGTTAGTTGCAACATCGAGGGACACTTTATTTATCCTCTAACTTCACTGGTGGCTCAGATGGTAAAGAATCAGCCTGTAACTCAGGAGACCCTAGTTTGAATCCTGGGTTGGGAAGATCCCCTGAAAAAGGGAATGGCCACCCACTCTAGTATTCTTAACTGGAGAATTTCTATGGACAGAGGAGCATGGTAGGCTACAGTTCATGGGGTCACAAAGAGCCAGACATGACTGAGTTAATGGCTAACATTTTCATTTTCACTTTTCTCCTCCACTATAAAATGAAGCTTATCATATAGTACCTGTTTCATAGGTTTGTTGTGAAGGACTAATTAATATATGTAAAGAACTTTAAATGGTTTCTAGTACTCTACGCTCAGTTGCTCACTCGTATCCTACTCCCTGCAACCCCCTGGACTGGAGACCACCAGGCACCTCTGTATGTGGGATTTTTCAGATAAGAATACTGAAGTGGGTAACCATTTCCTTCTCCACTAGTACCCTATAATCAACCTAAAATAGCATGTACTATGTAATCAAATAACTAGACCAATGATAAATGCACTCCAGTTAACCATTTGTGTTCATATCCAGTTTGTCACAAATTGAAGTATCTTTTTCAGTATTCAATTAAATATTTACAGTCTATTTTGATAGAAAATGTGTACATAGACTTCCCAGGTGGCACTAGTGATAAAGAACTCAACTGTCAGTGCAGGAGAGAAAAGAGACATGAGTTCAATCCTTGGGTCGGGAAGATCCCCTGGAGAAGGAAATGGCAACCCACTCCAGTATTATTGCCTGGAGAATCCCATGGACAGAGGAGCCTCGTGGGCTATAGTCCATAGGGTCGCAAAGAGTCGGACATGACTGAAGTGACTTAGTAGCAGCAGCATATGTAGATAAGACTTAGATTTATTCAAGAAATACTTAAGTATTATTCTGAATACTAGGATGGCAGTAGTGAACAAACTGAACAAAGGATCTTACTTAGGGTGAGGAGAGGCAATAAAAATTGTAAATTACTTAACTTAACAATATGGTAGAAAGTATAATGGAAAAAAATAAGACAGAGAGATGGGGGAAAAGGCTTGCAATTACAGTGTGGACAGAGAAGGCCTTTCTGAGGTTCTGACATATAAGTAACATTTTAGAGATGAGATAGTGAAGAGGAAACAGTAAGTACCAATCCCTGAGGCAGGAGTGTATAGATACGTTTTAGGAACAGTTTGAATGGCACTTAACAGAGAGGCAAAAATGGTGCAAAAAGCCTTTGTAAGAATTGGCAACACCTCGGTTTTTCCCCTGAGCTAGATCACTGAATCATCTTCACTTCTGTGTTTATATACAAGAATTCTGCCACTTATACAAGCAAGGTGAAAAGACAGCCCTCAGATTGGGAGAAAATAATAGCAAACAAAGCAACAGACAAAGGATTAATCTCAAAAATATACAAGCAACTCCTGCAGCTCAATTCCAGAAAAATAAATGACCCAATCAAAAAATGGGCCAAAGAACTAAACAGACATTTCTCCAAAGAAGACATACAGATGGCTAACAAACACATGAAAAGATGCTCAACATCACTCATTATCAGAGAAATGCAAATCAAAACCACA